TAGTCCCAGTGAGGATGCTCTGTTTCGTAACACTTGCAGCTGAAGCCAATTACAATTTAGTGAATCTTTTATTCTTCCAAAGGATGAAGTTGCACCAGCACCATGAAACTACTAAGAAGTGCACCAGAACATAAGCTAAGATGGTATGTAAATGTCTTATTTTACAGAGGGTTTGACATAAGGCAACATATGCTAAGAAGCTAACGCTAGCTTTTATGCTAGCAGTGACTATGTTTTTGCTCACTCAGCACAGAAAATGAAAAGCTTTTTTTTTTAATTCTACTCATTATTCTGTGTAAATGTAGAGATTTGTGTGAATGTGTGCAGATTAGCACAATTTATCATTTCATTTCAGCCAACAAGCTAACTGGGAAGAAGAGTAGCTACGTAGCTGTAACAATGAACCTCCCAGTGAGTAATTGAAATCAAGTGCAGGTTTATTGAAGAATTCGAAGAATCGCAAACACAGACAGGCAGGGTCAAAACCATGAGAGCTTCACATGAGATAAGGCAGAAAGTCCAAAACCACAATCCAGATATCAATAACGTAATCCAGGAGCAAGGGGTCAAAACCAGAGAATACATACAAGGAATATACTGCGCAGAATCACGAGGAAAACCTTAACAAGACTTCGCACCGAGCTTAGTGTACGACTAAGCCCAATAATGGCCTTCTGATTAGAGACAGGTGTCAGCATGCTTCAGTACTCAGGTGAGTGAGATCTCTGTTGGCGTGGAGGGGAACCAGCAACAGATGTGACTGTAGCCTAGTTAGATGCTGTAGACTGACATAAATTGACCGAAAAGACTATTATATCATTAATTATGGTTATTATAATACTTTCTGATGTCTCTCGAACAGGTGAAAAATGGTTCATGTTTGGGTCAATTCTATACTCTTAAAAAAGATTTCTTCAAGGGTTCTTTAGTAAAGACAGTGGTTCTATATAGAATCATGAACACTCAAAAGAACCATTTCCATGAATAAATGATTCTTCAGATTGACTGAGAACGTGTTGTGTATGGTTCTGTATAGAACATTTTTGAAAAGGGTTCTGTATAGCACTAACAGAAATTCTGCTATTGTTATGATGTCAAGCTTGTAACGATAGAAGAATCCTTTTTAGTGCAACATAGAACCCTTTTCATTGTTATGTCAATGATATGTAGCAGAGTTCAAGTAAAGTGTTACTGAACTTTCATGGGTCTCAAAATTATGATTTTAACTTTTAACATTATGAATAACCCTTCAACTTCAACACTTCAAGTATTCTGTGCATGTTGTTTTGTTTTTTTTAGTGTGTCATGAGTGCAACAGGGCTAAACAGAATAAAACCAGCATGCAAACAATGAAAATGACCACTGGGTTACATTCCATCCTGGGAATTTAGCAAAACTCTTATTTTATGTTTTTACAAGTTAGATAGTTTTGTTTGTATTTGTGATTATTACACTTACAAGTTAACTACTATAGCTTATGTTACCTAAGTCCAAAAACAATGAAAATATATTTCTCTGAGAAGCCCACAGTTCCCCTTCAGCATCCCAGACTTTTGCTATTGCGATAGCTGTGACTTCTGAAGGTTAAGTTTCACCCCTTCTTGCCAGCATGTGAAAATGTTCATTACGTCCTATTGGGGTGTCCCTTGGCAAGTGCCTTTTGACAAACACACTGGCTCGGGTGAGAAAACGACAAGGACGGCCGTTCTCATGAAAATCAGCAGCTCTAGGGCAAACAAAACAACATCTGAGGTGGCAGGAGTCCGATTTACAGAGGGTTAATGCTGGAGACGAGGGGCCCATGAGCCCACATCACTGAAAAGGACCTCAATGCCATACAGCAGAGAGAGAGGGAGAGAGAGAGAGAGCAAGAGAGAGTAAGAGAGACCCCCTCAAAATACAACACACAAAACCCAGCTTTGGCTCCTGAGTCTTAACAAAATGAAAGTGATCAAATTAGCGTTGGACGCTAGACTTTAAGAAGTTAAATGAAGTCTCTCATGGAGTCACTTCCCACCAAGGCACAGGGTGAGAAAGCAAGAGAGGAGCTCTCAGGGTGAATTAACAGTCGTCTAGTGTAGCTAAGGGGGGTGGGGGGAGGGAGAGAGAGGTGATTTGAGAGGTTCTCAGTGAAGGACTCAAACAGGGTCAGCAGAGTTCTTCTCACCAGAAGCTAATCCTGGCTGCCAGTTGCAGCCAAGCCAAGGATCCCATCATGGGTCCCCATGGTGGCGTGAAGCTCGAGTGGTCCTGCACTTAAGTTTTTTTTTTTAACGGCGATATACTGGGCTGAGAGAATGATGGTAGCACAGAAAGGCCATTGAAATGGAAACTGATTGAGGAGAACATAAGAAGGACATTCATTTTTGTACATTGCACTAATTGAGGTCACTGGCGGTTGTGCATGGAAAAATGACATACGGCTGGAAAGGGAAGGTTTTGGCTATGATAGTACTGTAGACGAATGACCATAACAGATATCCTAAAGTGGTTACTAGTTTGTGACCTTCTTGGACCCTACTGACTTCTTCACAGGTTCACCAAGAGCACTCACAAACAACCGGAAAATGTTTTAGGAGTTGCCTGATGCCTGTTAACAGAAACACAATAGTGGGAGTGTGTCTGGAATTAATGTTTTCAGAATGGGCTGGTGTGTGATTGTGTATGGGTGCCTATGTCCCTGCCACCCTCGGAATGTGACCCAGGAATGCTGGACACAGATGAAGACATATCCTTAGCTTATTTTTCTCAGCCATGTCCTGAAGCCCCATAAAAGGAAATGGTAAACAATTATTGTTGACATGAGAAATCCTCCGAATCTCTGAACTGGTAACATAAAATATGGAAATGGAAAATGGAATTCCGGCCTAAATACTTTCTTGAAATGGAATTCCTGCATAAAACTAGATATTATGATGTTATATGTCATGTTATGTAAAATTCTGTAGCATAGCAGTTTATCATGTTGCCTCTTTGGAGCAACTGATTCATAAATTCAGAAATTTACATAGTTTTCATGTTTTTGTTCTCTCATTATATTGCCTAGAGTGCATTACTTCCCATGTGTCTTACTCTACACTGATGCTACAATATCACACAATCTTTATGGTGTCAACTGGCTAGTCTAGCCTCTGATCTACAGGCTATACAGGTTAACTTGATCATTGAACACAATCTTAACGATAAAACAACAACTGAACATAAACAGGACATCACAGACAGGTTTTTTGACCCTTGTGGACAGAAAAAAGAAGCCAAACTGAGGTAAATTGTCAAAATAGACATGTAGCCAAGTTGCTAACTACCTCTTTATCTCATCTGAAGTCATTTCTGTCAATTGAGTGAATCATTTCTCCACTGTAATGATGATTTGATGACAGTTACTATAGTTATGTTGTTGCAATAAGTTATTAAGTGTTTATATGTAAAGATAAAAATAGTGGTATACCTGCTTTTACCTCTTTGGTTTGAATGGGAAAAAAAAAAAATAAACAAATATTTTTGGCTAAAAGCTTATCTTACAAGTATGGTAAAACAGTGAATCAGTTATCAGGGGGCGTATTCATAACCATTTCATGCAATACTTTTTGTAAAGTAGTCTTTAGAGGTTTTAGAGGTTTCTCAAGAATGGAGCATTTCACATCAAACCACTCTGAATGTCTTTGGTTACATCTTAACCATTTAATTATGCAGAGATTTTGAAAAATCAGTGGAATTCTCTTTTAAGGCTGGCATTCAGACCTTGCCTAACTCAGCACAGTTTACTTTCAGCTCCCACAGTATGAGAATTTAAAGAGGCTGGGCTGGAGATTTAGATACACGTCCCTATACACCCACCCTCACTGTGTTCCACAGACGTTAACAGTGTGCTGACGTATCACTACCTTACCTACAACTCCAGAGCCACACACCCTCAGAGTTTATAGCCTATCCTTGATGCTCTGCGGTTTATAGAGGTGTCCGGAGCCAAAGTAAATCATGATGCAGCAAAGCATGATCGACTGCTGAGCTTTGTTTAAAAAAAAATACGCCTGCAATCTTTTTTGCAAGTGACATTTATGGCTTACACTAACCCTTCACTGCGCCTTTAACAAGTCTCCCACACACTCACTTGGCACTTGTGGTAAAGTTTAGCTTGGCCAACATGATGGACCTCAGGCATAATTAATGTTACTTCTTTTTGTTGATTTCTGAGTATATTCTGTTCTGTGCAGTGGTTAGAGATTGGAGGAAAGAGATGTTTAGTCAATAAAATGTAGCTGCAATGTTTATCACCTCTATGTATATTCTTAGAGAGGACAGTATGTCAACCAAAATTCTTACTAACTTAACTGCAAACGCCAGCGGGGAAGCCTCACGGCCTTCTAGGTTTTCAGAGAAGGCCTAGTGATTTCTGTTGTATTTAAACTAGTATTGTATTACTAGTCCTATTTCATTAAGAAGTATTGGTTGGAAATAAAAGCGTTAAATTTTTGAACAGCCCAATGGAAAACTGTCCAAAAAGTTTTTATATCCTCAGTGATATATAGTTGGATACAGCCAAGCTAGACTCTCTTTGGTTAGACCTTTAGGAGCTGGACTGAAGGCCTAACTACTAACATAATTCAAAACTGACAGTGAAATTAACCAATTATGTTTTAATTTATAATGAGTTGGACAAATTTAATGAAAAACATCACTCTGGACTTCTGAAAGTCCTAGATATGTTGCTCACTGAGAATAGGAGTGGTAGCCTAACAATTCAATGGTTATAAATGTTCATATTCGCATTATCTAAGAGGAGTTTGGTCATTTATAGCCCAAACTGAAGGCCAAGCAGTCATAATTAAGTTACGGCTCACCACTGACAAACACTAAATACTTGCTAACTAAATAACTACAAGCACTGAATACTTACCTATTGGCACTTTACTACGCAAAGTGCTCACAATTACATCTCAAAACATGTACAGGAACCAACCAAGGGAACATCATGGTTCATTAAGGCATAAGAGACTTAATTCTTCTTGAGTTTACAGGGGTTTATTGAAAACAATCTCCAATTTCTCACTATCTGTACGTCCAATGGTTACAACTTGTTCTCAGCACAACATCCGACCATGTCGTAGACAATATCCAGAGACAGAAATGATAGCAACAATAACAAAAACAAAGGCATGTAATTTCAGGTATCATTAAATATATTCATTTTTATGAGAACCATTATATATTAGTATGAATTACAAGACAAAACACTGCTTTTATTTTTGCAAAGAATACAGCTAAACATCATTTACAGGTGGGAACATGAACAATGGCCAGGTCTTCATTCAGAACCTGTTTGGCAGAATAATTCTCCAGATAACTGGAGAATTGGTCGAAGTGTCCATGTTGGATGTTGGGTCAATATAGAATGAATTGATATTCTTTCAAAGGCAACGTCAGAGTTCATAGCTTGGCAGTGACAGTGAGTGTGACTGTAAGAAATTCTGTTTACATGTGTATGTATATGATGTTAGAGGAAGGGTGCGGGAGAGAGACAGAGAGAAAGAGAGAGAGAAAAAGAGAGAGAGAGAGAGAGAGAGAGAGAGAGAGAGAAGAATAAGTAAAAGGTTTGAGTGTATGTGTTTGAAATATTTCATTCTCATAGCACAGATACTGTACAAATTCCTCTCTATTTTATCAACTTATGTAAACAAAAAAGCCTAACAATCTTACTCTTCTGTCCAAACGTTAAGTTTCTGGTTAATAACATGAATATAATCTAGTTAGTGTCATACAAAAAATATAACTATACAACTATACAAATAACAACAGAACAATACGTTCCACAGAGTACCAACAAATTATAGGCCTATGATTTATTATCCAAGGCAAGACAGATCATATTGTCATGGTCTCCATCCTGTCAATAGTGTACATTTATTTTACTGTACTGTAATTAAGGCCTTTACAGACTATATATTATGGACCATATGACAAAGTGTCACGATAACAGCTGAAATGAAGTTCGTACAAGTTACGAATGGTTCAGGTAAAAGTTAGGAGTAGGTTTTGGTCACTGTAGCTGTTCCTACTGCCTCATTTGAAGGACATGAAATTGCCACTTAAATTCACTCCCACAGTATAATTCTCCTTGACATCAGATTGAAGGTAACTGCAATAAATCCAAATCTCATACAGACTTTTTTAGATGTTTCTTATATGAATAAGGGGGGTAGTGAAATTAGTTTTTCAAGAAGATGAATTCATTAAATTTTCACACGCAAACTTTAAGAATTTTTACAATTTTAACATAATTTACAGAATTTTTAAAGTTTCAAAATTCTCAACATATACATTTTCCAAACTTTAAGAATTTTCAAAAATGTTAAATATCTTTTCACATTTTCAAATTTACGGAATTTTTACATTTTCAAAATTTTCAACACTTACTTGAATTTTCAAATTTTCCTTTTTTTAATTGTTCAGAATTTTCACATTTTCAAAATTTCAAATAGTCTAAACTGACATTTTCAAATGTAATAAAGGTCAAGTTTGAAGGAATATTGACAATATTTAGGAAACATTAGCTCCCCCTGTAGGCAACATGTTCCATATACCTTGAAAGTGAGACTGGATCTCAAAATTTGTCTGGCAGTTTTATCACAATCAGAAAAAGGATCAGGAAGGGGTTAAATATTATGTTTTCTTTATATATTTAGACTCACGCTATAGTAATCTACGGTCAAACATGTTATAATGTACACTGCAAAAATCACTGCATTCAAAACAAAAAACATTCAACTTACATGAATAGTGGTTCAAGCTGTTTTTGAAATATATCACTCTGCCATGGCACATTCTGAACTGCTAAAATACTCAGCATCAGAAGCAATGAGGTATCGTCCACAATGCTGTACGTAAAAGTGGGGTTTATAAAAGTCGTTAGCTTGTCCTTTACACATATCTTGCAGATACCAGATACCAGTTCATATCAGATCACAGATCACCAACATATAGTTTATAACATATAATGTGTAACATATAATCCCCCAAGATCACCTTTCTTTTGTCACTAGACTGTTAAAATGTCATCAGCTCAAATAAGACAAGCACATGTACTGTGAGCTTCCGTGTCAAAAGACAAAACAGTCTAAAAGGGCACTGGCATCAAGAGATGTCACACAGTAGCTAGTTTTCTTTTTACGCTTTTTAAAAAAAGGACTGGACAATTTAGGCTACATAAAAGTGAGAAACACCGAAATTGATCACTCAAAAATGACTTAACATATGTAACATTAGGTGCAAACTCTGCAAAATCCACAATACGAAAAAATAGTAATCTCAAAGGAAAATAAAATCGTAAGACAGCTGAGGACAAACCAGTGAAATCTTGGGGTTCCTTCACAACAGTTCCTACAAAAGGCTAGCGATATGCATCTGCTTAGCAGCGCTCGGTCCATCCCTTCCTCCGTCTCCCTCCTTCCTCCATTCCTTCCACCTCCTGATGCGTAGTTCCTCTAGCACTTGCCCCTCTTGTCGCGCTGCTGGAACTTGCGGAGCCTTCGGGCCCACAGGTCCTTCCAGGGGATGAGCAGACTGCCTTTATCAGCCACCACGCCGCTCTGACCGCGCGAGTCATCGTCGTCTGAGCCCAGCAGCAGGTACTTCTTCCCCGGCTTGATCTTGGGGCACTTGCAGGCCACGTCCTTGGCGCGAACCCACAGCAGCTGGTCACCCCGGCGGATCCGATGTTCGCCTTGTTTGTAGACCGAGATGATGTTGATGGTGAACTTCCACCACTCGCCTGCTTTGTCGCCTTTCAGCACGTGCACTTGGACAGCTGGAGAGAGGCACACATGCACTGACAGGTTAGGGGATATGAAGACTTAAGATAAATTGTAATAAATTCAGCACCGAACTATACTGTAACGTTTTAGTACAGAAGTTTATTTCTATCTTGTTATTAGCTGCAAGCATTGCACTGTACAAAAGTAAACACCAGCTAAAAACCAGTCAGGTTCGACACGACTTCCAATATTGAGGTTTTCATTACAGTAAACTCCTCAACCTGAAGGACAGAAATGAAGAACTACATGCAGTAAATGAGATATTTAAAGGAAAAAGGAAAAAACAACTTGGATAGTCTGTAGTTTGTAAACTATGCTAGTTAGCTAGAGTAAGTTTAAGTAAGGTTTAAAGGAATATGATCTGTAACTTACTAAAACTTAAGCTAAAGTAACTATTTCACTGGTTAACATAGCTAAACTACATGCTAGCCAAATTACATGCTACATGCTAGCTGTTTTGCCACTTTCCTTTAAACACTGCATTTACTATGTGCAGTGCTTTGTTCTCTGAACTGAAGGTTTTTCTATAATGAAAAGCTGGTTTTTGAAGTCATGTCAAACCTAATGTTGTGGCAAGTTGCGGAAGAATTGCTCTGCAGTGATGACTGACCATAGCAAAGCTGACACACACAAATTTATACACATAAGCTAGTAACAAATGTTTATTCACCACATTAAGGTTGGTGGTCCTAATTTAATTAGTTTTGTTTTTTTCACAGGTTGAAATTTCTTAAGTCTTGAGTCCACCTTCATGCGAGTCAGTCAACATGCAACTGAAGCGCGACTTGAGTTTGGGTCGCTAATTCAACTCGACATCTTGTTATATGAGCTTTGGTCTTGCTTGCCCACTAACAGAGTGCAAAGTAGCACAAGTTTTGGATATTAGTGCTTAGACCTGTGATTACCAGCTGCCCTTCTACCTTCCTGCAACCCACATCTCACACCTGATCCAGCTAATTGAAGAGTTCTGAAGACAATTATTGCACAGATCTTGGAACAAAACTCTGCGGGAAGGTTGAACATTGAACCTAAAACCATGAACATTGTTTTAGACTCAGATTTTTATCAAAAATGCATTGCATGAGGCAGGCCTTTTAAGTTAGCTTATTATTCAAACATTGTCCCACATTTCCTTTAACTTTTCCCAGAAAGCCTTAAAAGTTGTCAGCCTAACATGGACATGATGCCACATTCATCCCTCACACTTTTGTGAAAGTACTTTTAACCTGCCTTCTCCACGCATTCTTCCTATCAGCGGGAGTTTCAAAATGGCTGACTTGCTTTTTCTCAACCTCTCCCCTCCTTCTCTCCTCTAGCCCCGACCCCTGACCTTCCCTTGTTGTCCTGGCCAGCGTGTTCCGTATTGCAGCAACAGTTGCCATAGCGCTCGCAGCCAAAGACAATGCATGCCCACAGCGAGTGTTTCGAACGACCCCTCCCCTTCCCCAGCGGGACCTGTTGTAATGTTGGGCTACAGTGGACGTAACCTTGGAAACACTCTCTTTTCCTCCATCGGGCTTTAGAAAAGGGAAGAGGTGGAGGCGTACAGTACCTGTTTCATTTCTGTTCCTTTGCTTTCTGTTTGTCGACATATTGCTCATGTAAAAGTGCACCACTAAAAGTTTGGAGACATCTAGCTTTTCACATTTTTGAATAATGAGTTTGTTTCAATAAATGTTTTTAATTTTGTTGGCCTGCGAGAACGTAACGTATACTCTTAAAAAGTGACGAATGAGGCCATAGATAAAACCACTTTTGGTTTCATAAAGAACTATGTTTGAAAAAGAGATTAATGAGAACATTTCAGGGGTTTAAGAACCTTCACACAATGTAAACATTCCTCACACTCACATATCTCATTTACTCTCATTCACTGAAATGTTCTGTAGGGGAAAAAAATGGTTCTTCTAAGGCATCATTTTGGTGCCTTAATTTTAAAGAGCATATTACATTCTTTAAATCTTTGCTATTTTCTTTGGGAAAATGCTGCGACTGCAGCAAATCATTTTCAATATATGCTTTTAACAACAGAAAATACAACTGTCAAATAATTATGTACAGTACTGTATAAAAGTCAGAGACCACCCTTCATTTAGATAAGCCATCAAGTTCAACTTATTCATTTTTCAGTTGATATTTCTGAGGAGATTAGACATACGATATTCCACTTCCATAAGGAAAGGGAAATTCAAAGAAAAAACAAGACTTTCAAAAACGGGAGCAGCAAAATTTTTTTCATTAAATTAAATTTAAATTGTTAGGAACCAATGTTACAATGTAAGTAAGATGAAAATTAATGGAAGTGAAAAACCAGGAGTTTCCAAAAATAGATTTTGAAAAATTATTAAAAGATGCAGAGAAAATGGGACTAACAACTACGCAGGACCTGGTAGATCAGCAAAACTGTCACCATCAGATAAACAGCACTTAAAGGTTTCGTCTTTGAGAGAGAGGAGAAAATCAAGCTCTATTCTTGCTTTAGATCTGTAAAAATCAACAGGTATTTCTGTCCATCTTTTCACTGTGAGAAGACAACTCAGCACTGTGGGTCTGAAAGAATGTGTAGCTGGCAAGAAGCGGTTACTGAGAAAACAGACCAAAAGTAAGACAATTTGCACTACAACACTACTATACTAACACTGGACATTTGAGATGCGGAGGCTTTATGGGCTGAGGAGTCTAAATTTGTAATTGGGATTACCTGGATTGTGAGAAGCAGACAACACAACCACCTTCTAAGCTTGAACTTTGCATGTACAGAAAAATATCCCTGCAGATTTCTTTGAAAAACTAAAACAAGTCTCCTGGAAAGAATGCAAACTCTAAGATAGGCAAAAGGTGGACACATTAAACACTGAAAAAAAAATGTTATATTTAGTTGTTGAGACTTCTGTGTAATTTTTTGTGAAATATATGTTCTGCATTTTCCCCCTGATGCTGAATAAATTTCATTTAAAGGCTGTTTTGTCTGGAAATTTAATGATAGGTGCACTTTGACTTTTACACAGAATTATAAGCAAAATTGACTCGTAATGAATTAAATTATAAAGCTGAGTGTTTTCAAATACATCCAAAGTATGAGTAAATATGTATATTGAACTAAAAAACACTGAAGATTGTTGAGAGCTGTGAGAAGAGCTAGTAAAGCTGGAAAGGCATCAGGTTAGGGAAACTAAAAGCAGCCAGGCAAAAACTTCACAGCAACTGTGCAAAGGCAGTGAAAGTTAAATAAATGACTTAATCTATAGAAAATACAAGTGCATACTTTTCTGTGAAACAAGCGCTGCCCGAGGGTCCCCAGCTAGCCCAGCGTCACATCACTCTAAACACATGCAGTCCAAGCGTGTGAGATAATCTGTTCTCAAGATGAAGTGGTTTGGTTGGGAATGTTCTAGAAAGGCCCGGGGGGGCCTACCTAAGAGTCCCCATTTCACAATTAGAGAGAATTGACCCGGTTTGGAAGTGAGAGCATGCCTTCTGGTGTGAAACGCACAAACGTTAAAACGGAAGATGTTGAGAAACACAAGCAAGTACACACGCAAATGCTGACAGTGACCCACTAAAGGTGAATCGTGTTTGAGAAATACGCCATTTGGGGCTTTATGTAAAAGTGACAGGGGAAGTGCTGTATTTCCCCTTCTCTTTTTTTCTCTCCCCCACTGTTGAATGTGAGCGCTCTTTAGTGACGGGGGCATGAATCGCCCCCTATAACAGAGTGGAATGTCCCGGCTGGGCAGCGGGGGGCCTGCTGTGAGCAAATTGCGCCCAATTTGAGAGAAGAAAAGAGAAGTGTTGGTGTGAGGAGAGCGCACTCCCACGGGCCCGCCATTCATCCCCACTGGCTCCCTGGGCCTGAGCCCGCTCCTCCGGCCAAAGAGAAGGAGAGAGATAAAAAGAACGGAGGGGTTTTTGGGGAGGGTGGCTGTAGAGGGGAGGCCACTATTTATCTTCCCAGCCACAGAGAAGCTTCCAGAAGAATCGTGGAAGTGTTCCGACCTCATCGGCTCGCCGGGCCTGTGAGCTCCAAGAGCAGTGTGAGAATCCACCGCCGGAGTCTCATTCTCTTCTCGCTCTCATTTCAGTGCAGGAGCCAGCCATGAGCTCACAGGCGCTGGTAAAATTCAGGGAAGGTGGGGAGTTTGAATCAAATCACTTCCATTAGCTCTGCAATCGTCAGTCAGTACTAGGGTCAGTTGGGCCCCCTTCAGGCAAAATGCATAGCTCTCTACCATAGCTATATTCCATCCTCAAAAACACTGTTAAACATGAGCTACTCAATGTTGCTCACTGTATGAAATGCTAAATAATTTATTGTTGTTATATATATGTATGTAGTCCACAGATCCTGCTGTATTTTTTAGCATTCTTTGTGGTGAGAAATTACTCTGTTTCTCAATGAATAAACTATGCAAAAAGTTTGAAAAATCAGTGGAATTCCTCTTTACAGTTTACCTATTACTGGATGAGTTGGTCACTCAGAGCAATACTAACGCGGAAGTCTCTTAACTGACAGAATTTATTTATATATGTACATTTTTCGTTAGTTTAAATTAATGTTTAAGTTAGAGTGGACTTGCAAACAACCTAACACTGTGGTGAAATAAGTCAATCTATGATGCCCTCAAATATGTCTATCTTGATCTGTTATATATAGCTAATCACAGCTAACAATTTAGCCTAGTAGTCACATATTTATATCCACTCTTTTCTGAAATTCTGCCATTGCTATTGAGGCACCAATATGGCACAGGCTCAGTGACGAAAGGCTAACATGGCTGTATCCCAAAGGAAGATTAGATGTGAATAAATAGGAAACATGAAGATAGTGGGACTGATCCTCTATTCACTGTCTGGAGGGTGTACAACACCAGCACCATAGAGAGAAAGAGGCTGAGATAGAGACAGACTGACATTTACATTACATTTTGATTTATTCACTTAGCAGACACTGTCTCAGCCAGAGCAACCCGCACAAAGTGCAAACAATGGAAGT